TACAGTGGTAGATGAGAAGAAACAATCTGAAGTTTCGTCCTCTACATGCTGATCTTATATACATGTACAGGAGCCTGATTACATAATCTTCATCATACCGCTACTACAAAATAGATGATTGGCTATCTACGTATCTAGGCAACTAGACTATACACAGAACAATAAGTGGGAAGATCTATCCGTAAGTAGAACAATAGGTGCAAAGATCGATGTACTCTTGTGGCAACGGTGAGATGATTCATCCTATCATGGTAATGGCTATACCTTGAGTCGATTGCCTAGATGATCCCAAACAATAGTCCTTGTTCCCTTTGTTCCTAAATGGGTGCCTCTATTGTATCCTAGAATAGACCAGTCTGACTGTATTATCCACAGATCTGGACCATAACATGTGATGTGGACTATTACCTGATCTCTACGCATCATGTCTGTGGCTGAGTGGTGTGAGATATTGGTAAAGCATGTGATCTGTGGTGTGAGAAAAGTCACATGCAGACTTTGTGACAAAATCTGTGACACTACCCCCCTCTCAAGGCTCATTGTTCCGAGGAGCCAAAACCTTTATTTCTCCTTCTAGTTGCTCGCAACGATTGGTAACTTCAGGAGGGAAGCCCTTCAGCATAATACTGGAAGATTATCTGGGCTATCCTATCTTCTGGCTTAACTGAAAATATGAAATCTGTTGTAAATCAGTACGACCTTGAGTTCTCCAGTGTAATCAGGGTCAACGACCCCTGCGCCCACGTCAATTCCTCATGCAGCCAGTCTGCTGTGTGGAGCTATTTGTGAATAGGTGTGTTTGGGAGAGTCAATTGTGACTCCCATTGCTACTACAGCTCGTGAATGTGGAGGGATTTCATGTGTTTCTGCTATATAAATATCCCATCCTGCTGCTTCATTTGAGAATTCTTTCAGTGATTTGGTGAGGTCTGTCATTTTGTGATATAGAAAGAACTCGTCTGGGTGGTCGGACATGTTGATTCTGTGCATGAATATTGGTGCAACTTTGTATGAGGATAGTTCGAAGTGTTTTTCACTGAACGTAACAACTCTGATTGGTGCTTTGGCTGCATCTGGGTGTTGTTGATGGAATTCTTGAAAAAGCTCGTCGGTGTTGATGAAATTTGTTTGGGGTTCCCGTGTATTGTCAGAATGGTTATAGCCTTTCCATTTGATGAGGTATTGGACCCTTCTCCTCACAACCTTCGAGTCTAGTATTTCTTCAACTTCGAATTCTGGCTCTCCTTCGATTTCTATAGCTGGGGGCTTTGGGGGTTCATGGTTTGTGACCGTGTCTTAGTGATACATGATCAACTTGCTAGCATGGAAGACCGGGTAGACCTTCATTTGCTTGGGCAATTCCAGTTTGAATGTGACTGGGCCTAGCTTCTGAAGTAATTTGTAAGGTCCAAAGTTTTGTGTGCCTAGCTTCACGGATTTGACTTTTACTCTGAGATCTTTCCCTTTGAGTAGTGCTAGGTCTCTGACTTTGAATGGAACTTCTCTCTTCTTCTTGTCAAAAAACCATTTCATCTGTGAAGCGGAAACTTCCAATGCTGCCTTTGTCTGTTCTTGCACCTTGGATCGGTGGGCGAATAAGTGTTTCAATGAAGGGTGACATATTGATTCATGTATGTCTGGTGCCATTTTTGGATGTTAGCCATATTTGACAAAGAATGGGAAAAGTGCGGTGGACTCATGGGTCTGGTTGTTGTATGAAAATTCTGCCATTGGCAGGTAATAGACCCAATCATTCTGTCTATGGTTGCAATACATGTGCAGGTACTGTTCCAACACCTGATTAACACTCTCTGTCTGACTGTTTGTTGGGGGTGGTATGCAGTTGACATTGTTAACTTTATACTGAGCTTCTGGCAAAACTCCTGGAATAGTTTGCTCGCAAATTGAGTCCAGTGATATATATCCTTTTCAGCCTTTTTGTAGAAGTTTTTTGAAAGCTACACATGAAAGAATCATCAAAACCTAAAATACAATGTAATGTGATTAGAGAACCCATGCTGCGCTGCAGCTTGTTAAGGTATGGCCTACACATTGTGTATATAGTCATCCTTCTTCTGTGGACAGTCAGAGTTTTTCAGTTTTCTAAAACTTCAGTGAAGCAGTGATGACAGTGAGAACTTGATTCAGTAATGTCTGATGAAATACACCTTTCTGTCATACTGACCAAGATCAAATGCACCGTCATTCATGAATGTAGTCATTCTTCTTCTGTGGTCAGTCAGAGCTTTTCAGCAGCTCACATCAATAAATGTAATTTTAACCCTTCTTAGTCCTGACTATAGACATCATCTGTTCTCTCTTGAACTTGAAGGATCATTTAAAGAGATTCTGAATGCATTTTTGTTAAATCCAAGCACTGAGAAGTTCACTCTAAACTGGATCACTGATGTACACTGACATAAATGTGCATCTAAGATCAGGGGCCTTATAAACTGTACCAATGAAATCTGAACATAAACCTGATTGGCAGAGACAAAGCTTTTGATTGAATGCCACTCTAAGTTCCATCAATGAGAGCTAAGCTACTTAATGCAACATTGATCTGGCACACCTGACATTTTATGTCAAGGTTCACCTACTTTAAGCCATCATTAGTTACAGTGACTGATGTTTTGTGCCAGTCATTATAGAGTGGTTGAGAAGAATAAAGTTGATCTGTACTTTCAAAATCTGATACTGATCACAGAAATCACTGACAGGGTAAGGCCAACATACAGGTCATTTAGCTCAGTGCTTTAGAGCCTGCCACCAATCCCCTCAAAAGATATACTCATCTACATGGCAATAGCCTTATCCATGAGCAGAGTCAGACATTCTTGAGGTCAGAGGTCAGAGATATTGTTGCAGTTCACTTAGAGATCAAAGAAGATGAGCAGAAAGAAGTTGAAAGAAGATGAGGATAAGCAGAATGCTCAGCAATTTGATGATCTTTCTAACACTGATATGGATGAAAACAACCTGGCTGAGAAGCTCATTCTTCAGCTCAAATTAGAGCAGCCATGGCTGCAGCTTGAGAGTTGCATATCACTAAGAGATATTTGACAGATGAGGCAGAAGTGAATGCCACTCTCAGATTATTCCCTCTCCACACTCATGGCATAAAAAGGTTTGACTTCACACCCAGATCAATCTTCTTTTGCACACTGTTCAATGGTTTGATAAGGTTGAGCAGGAGTTGAGCACCAATGGGTTGTAAGTGCTGAACTGTTCACTGTATCTTAGCCATGCAGCTTATCTCAAATTGAGGAAAAAGAGCCTTCAGTTAGCATTAGCTATAGGGCTTTCTGCATCAAGTTTCATGAGCTAAAAGAGGCAGTGCTCACTGATGACACAAGAGAGTGACCTAATGCAGTAAGAAAGGAGTAGAGGATTACAAGGATGGGAAGAGAAATTATCTTAGTATAACTGAAAGCAACCACATTTGCTACGTGAAGAAGGATTTGAATAGCCTATGCAGATTAAACAATATAGAAGTAGCAATGCTGTTATAAAGAAAATGTTGTACAAATATACAATGAAATCTGTGCAAGATCAAGCAAAAGGCATGAGAAGATATTTAATATAGACATGTGAACTCCCATAGAGAGCCTTTCATGCTATCACTGTTATCTATCATCACCATCTGACACTGTACTCCTTATGCTGTTACCCAGTTCAATGTCAAAATGATCATCTTAAGGAAGATTGAAGGTAAGCTATATGTTAATTACACTTCACTCTTTCTAGCTGAGTAGTTTCAAAACACAGATGGAGATCATAATGCAGACATGAACTTTAACACTGTAACATAATTCTGTTTTTTTTTGCAAGTTGATGCATTACTAACTGACACTGATCTGCATAGAGAAATAACCTGAACAATGCTGCAGTTATGCCTGCACAGTATGACCAACCTTAACAGGTGCTTGCAGTTATTTTTACAAATTTTCTCGACATCTGCTATGCCAGCATGCTAGCTACATTGTACATGACCATTCACATGTTATAACTGTAGTAAAACTGCTTTACTAAGGAGTCAAGGTCAGTACCATGCTAGTATCAATTTAACATTGTAGTCAAACTGCTATACTGCAGTGTCAAGGCTGAACCTATGCTAGCACTAAGTGTCTGAGCTCAGTGTCAATTTTTAAATGCTAGCACAGTTGCTGTACAAATTGTTACAGGGCTAGTACTATGGTAGTACTAACATTTTAATAATAGTATCAATTTTAAATAATAGTAAAACTGCTGTACTAGGGTTTTCACCCTAGCACTATGCTTATATGCATCTTTAGAGGATGGTATTAGTGTTTCAACACTTGTATAATTGCTGTACTTATGTTCAAATGCCAGTATCATGCTATGTACTAACTCTTTAATAATATCATCAGGTTTTTCATGCTAGTACCATTAGTGTACTAGTCTTTTTATAGCTAATATGATTGCTGTACTATGCTAGCACTACAGTAGTACTAATGGTATTATAACATCAATATTTAAATGCTAATATAATATATTTTTGATATGCTCAATAACAGCTGATTTGAGATACTGGTACTCAATAGTGACATTATGCTGATGAACATAATCATGATCACTGAAGAGTCTAATAGGAAGTACAAGTACTGTGGACCTAAAGGGGTGAAGACAACCAAGCATTCAAAAATAGTCAACTGAGAACAATGATTAGTGCAGAAATGAATGAACAGATATCACTATCTCAAATGTGAATGCGTGATCGATGTTCTCTCTCATCCACAGCGTGCATAGCAATATTTTTCCACTGAAGAAATAGTGAAAATATAGTAAAAGAATATAAAGCCCTGCTTTGAAAAAATGTTAAAAACTATTCTGTAAATTGTTCCATATTTGAGTAGTGTATGCCCATATATAGCAATTTAATGATGGAGGAAGCTTCTAATTTCTTCACCATTTTTCCAAATTAAAGCTTAATATGTTTTCAGAGTTTCTTTACTGTTTTCCAATTGAAAAATGTTGCTATGCACGCTGTGATCCTTGGTGCTGCTCTCCTCATCGCTCTGTCTGCCATACAGGCTAGGCCTGGCTTGAAGGCGAGGCAGTCCATCACTGCCCTCACATAGGCACAGATCACGGTGTTCACATCATATATTTGGTACATGAGCATGGGCTACTGCAATGTGTCACAGACGTTGGTTTAGGACTGCGGGATGAACTGCGAGGCAAACCTCAACTTCGATCTAGTAGCTTTAGGAGGCGATGGTGACAGCATGCAGTATTGGTTTGTTGGATATGATCTGAATCTTGATACAGTGATTGTGTCTCACCAGAGCACAGATCTCAATGAAATCTTGCCTCTTGTAACAGATGACGATATCATGCTGGTCAACCCAGATTCATCATTTTTCACTAGGCTGAGTTTAGATATTGAGGTCGATCAAGGCTTTACTGCAATGGATATTCTTTCAGCTGTGCAGACGACTATGTCAACATATAGAACAAATCAAATAACAATTGTCGATCATTCACTCAGAGCTGCGATATTGTTGCTTGACTCAGTCTATTTGCTACTGTACATCCCAGATGCCTTTTACGCATACTTCAGCTATAGGCTGCCTCAGGTGAAAACCAAGCCTTCATAACTTACGTTGATGCCTCCATCAGTCATGGTGACACACATTAACAATGAGGAGGACCTGATCCTGATCTGTCCGGGCATGTTCCTCAGGTTCATGCATTGTCAGATAAGGTGCACATTGAGGACTTGGGTGAGTGGGTGACATGTCCTGGCCAGAATATCCTGAGCGGATGAGGACTTGTCAGACCATGATGGGCCATATAATGGCATTACGATGGGGTGCTGAACATTTAGGAGCTGGACTTTGGACTGGAAATGATACCCTGAGTGGCCGGTGATGGGAGGAGGGAACAGTTTTGGCAGCAGAATGCATGGTGCTGTGTTATTCAATTGTTATGTTGTCATATGAGTGTTGTATGCATGATACCCATGTAAGCTGAGAAAAAAAATTTGAATGGTGACTGCCGCAGACTGTGTCATGATATGATGATCATGGTAGCAGCAGATAAGCTGCATCCTCACATAAACCATCTTATATGATTATTACACATTGCAGATCCTGCAGCATTTCATATCATTGAAAAGATGACACAGATATATACACTAAACTTTGCTGAATCTCACCCATAACATTATGTTACTCTAAAAACTGCTGCATCTTGAACAATCACACCATTTTTGATTTCTGTCAATGAGACTGGTATTTTAATATGAATGAGAATATACAATGTGGTGAATATTTATAATCAAATTATAAACTTAATTATAAAGAATGTCAGGACCTCAGAAATCGTTTCTGCCAGAAATGGCCCTCTTACCCAAGTTATGAGCAGATGTGCGATTTCATAAGCATGCATTCACACCTTGAGTACATGGAGTGGTGTGTGGCTGACCTTCATGCAGATATGAATGTGTAGGAACATCACCAGTACCTGACTACAGAGTAAGTTTCTTGCTCTTCTTCAGAGAGCTTTATGCTTAGGGTCCTAAAGGCAGTTTTACATCTTTTTAAGAGATGCATCTTTTGTGATGAATGCAAAATTGTCATTGATTTTAAGAATCATCTGACTCACACACGAAACTTACACCTGCCTGCCGCTATTGTTTGCTATACAAACAGACATATTTCACAGTTTCTACTATGTAACTCAGGAGATAAAATCATCATTTGTCTATGTTGCCTGACCAAAGACACCTGTTAAAAATGTTGTCAAGATATTGTTGAATTCTTTCCACTGCTTTTGAGAGACTCAATTCTCCCATTTGCTAAGAGGCACATGATGTATGACTGCCATGTCACAGAAAAACTGGCAATCAACCCCCAGTATTCTATGATAAGCCACCACTGCCAGCATCAGTTGCACCTTCACCTGCTGATCACTCAGACACTTCTTCATTAAGGTTCTACACTTCAGACAGCCGCACTGCTACTTTTAATTGCTAAATCATCTAAAACACAGTGTTTCAGATCTGTCAGCTCAGCAGCTCTCGAGCCCCATTGCAGGCCCTTCACGTTAACAATTGTCAAGCCTGGAGGAAGAAGTGAGCATCCTTGATGAAGAGCAAGGCTTAGCTGAATTAACAGTGGAGAGAAATCATTTGTCCAGCTGAGCCGCTGTGATGTCCCAGTTATTCTCTATATCTGTAGTACTGTGGGTTCAACATCCACTATGTTCAACATGTTCAAATATTGTGAGTTCAACACTCCCTACATTCAATGTGTTTATTTGCATTTGACAAAATTAACATTAGAGGACTGAGAACATCATCTGCTTGTGAGGGTTATCAACCATGTACTCTATAAGTTCAATGACTTTATTGAGCCATACTACAATTTCTGAGGTTGAGGGAGAGTTTTGCAATACATCGCCACTCCTACCCAAGGTGGCCGCCAGCTGGTTGAGCCAATGGCACCAGACCGGGCGCCCAGCTGGGACAGACTGGGCCCATATGGCCTCCACGTTTGGAAGCAGAATGGGGCTGTGCTGAGTCCCACGCATCTCCAGCTGGGCAGTCCAGCTGAGGCCAGCAAAGGGGGCCAACCGGGGTTCCTCATTATAATATATATTAGAAAATTATATGATATCATCATTATATTCTCCTCAGCTGTGTGGCCACGGCATGCGGTCTTTTGAAAAGAAACAGAGTACGATAAAGTTAGAGTCACCAAATACCTTACAACAGACGCAATAATGCATTGACAGAACCTTGTACACGCCAAACCTTCCGACTTCCATATGAACTGTCAATGGCAGTGTCAGAAATCGAGTAACATCCAGGGTGAGCGAGTATGTACCAAAGTTATCAGCAACCGTGCGCCTACGATCTGTTTTGAAGTAGATTATCATTAGTACAAAAGCGCCGCGAACGGCCCCATTACAATGACGCAGCCATGCTGCGGAGCAGACACCTCAGGGACGTATACTACGTACTGCAACGCTTGGATGCGACCAACAATGACGGGGGTATTAGCCTCGCGGAGCTGACAGCTCATCGCATCCAGCCTTCATTGATGGAAAAAGGTTAGCAAAGATTTTCTTCTTTCCAGCCTTCCTGAGTGTGCTTTACACCCGAGAGCAGTGAGTCTTGCCATATAGCAGAGAGCAGCATTTCGTGCAACAGAGATCACAGCCAGGCAGCCAAACATTTGACAACAGATCAGGTGAGCATGAAAACAGAGAATTTGATGAGATAATGGCTTGTATGCACGGAGACAGGAGACGTTAAAGAGAATCGTGCGGCAAAATGTTGCGCTAGAGTCAAACGAAATATTTGTGAGGGTCACGTGGTCTCCTTTCCAAATCCCCATCGCGGAACGGGCAGATGTGAGAGCGGGAAAAGTATCTGACACAGCAGCGGCAGAATGAGATGCAGGCGAGGCAGGTTTAATGGAAAGCAGTCAGCTTGAAGGAGCTTTATCGCCGGATATTGTGATTAATACAAGGACTGAGTATCATCTACGAGATTTCGGCGCTTAAGTAAGCGCACAGACACATTGAATTGTAGGGTGATTGCTGGCAATCGAAATGACCTACAAAAAATGGAGCCCTCTCTCGAGACATTTCCCCAACCGGCAAAATCATTCTATGTGACGCACGACTATTATAACGCACCCATGCTGATTGCGCGAACATCTGTGTTTGAGCGCTTGCAGGACATCAAGCGCCGATAACGTCTGGCATGTGACCGAACTGGACGTACGAGCTTGCCACCTATGATGGGCTGGATGGGCCATCTGGTGTTCCGATGGGTCCATCTGATCCCGCGGTGGCTAAGTGTGGAGGCCAGCTGGCCAAGCCCACCTGGCTCCCGGCCGACGCGTCTATCTGAGGAGGCGGGGCACGGGATTGGCGGTGTACTGGGCACTTAGGACATCTATGTGATTTTTTTTGATATCCATGGAACACTTAAGCAATGCATGGGAGAGTGGACAATTACAAAGTGATTTCATTTTTCACTCTGACTTGTTTTGCAATGGGCATACAAACCGGAGTTTGAACTGCACGATGCAGCTGTGCAAATATTCAGAGCCAATCACAGCACTGAATCCAAGATCTATGGCATTCTGAGGAAGGAGATTGAATGCCAGAAAGAGTATCAGAATGCTTTCAAGATCTGGATGGTGGCCCTCAACCAAGTTTCAGATAATGTTGAGCTCTTTGAGGTCATTGCGAATATTTCAACACCGTTAAAAATGGCAGATATCTTGTGGTTCAGCCAAGATTCATGACATTCTGGGAGAGGGGATTGAATGCCCAGAAAGGGCATCACAATGCTTTAGGGACCCTGGAGGTGGCCTCAACCATGTTTCACATAAAGTAAAGCACTTCCACCTATTACACATTGCAGACTCTGCAGCATTGCCTACCACTTGAAACAATGGCAGAGATATGCGGAGCTTGTGTTCTGCTATGTTCCAGTCTTCATCTTCCAATGTTACCATCTAACTTCATTATCACCACTGTACTGTGGTTTTGAATGCAGAAGATCTTCCGTTTAGTTTATCACTTTGGACAAAGTGTCTGTTAAGTTAGGTTCTTCAAAAAGTAGAAGGTTTTCAGAATGGCTGCAAGCCCTTTTATTTAAAGCAAAACTCGCTGCAATAAAAGACTGGTCAGAAGATACGTACTTGCCAATATCAAATTATGTGTGGTATTATAGTTTCATTTCACTGCGAGGATTGTTGACATGAATGGTCAAACACAGTATAATCACGGAATTCTTATCGGTAATACTCCAACATCGTAATACCCTGTGAAGATGACACACTGTACTCTCCCCAACAAAGTGCATTTAGCTCTGTAGCAATCTACACTAAATTCTGCTTTACCCGACCTCCAATAATGAAAACACAGTCTGCTACACAACATCACCTTTCAATGTCTTTCTTTCCATAATATTATGTTACTCTAAAAAACAGCTGCATCTTGATCAATCAAAAATGTGTCAGCCAATGCTGTGAAGCATGTCATGAAAAAATGATTTCCAAATATTGACATGAGCATTATGGTAAACACAAGATTTAGCTTGAACTATATGACATCTTTTCTAATGATCCCATTTGAGCCAGATAAATTGGTACAACATGAGTAGGTTTACAAGCTTGACATGATGCTAACTTATTGTGACGCTTCGTCAATTCGAAAGTCTTGCAAGATACTCAAAGATTCGCACTGCTTGTTCATAACACTGCGCGAAAAATCAACACATGTACATAATGTATCACTTTAATGTAATAATTGCTTTTCATTTTGGCAATTGCGAGGTTTTTTCAGTTCTTCATATTTGCTCAAAATCGTTCAAGTTTAAGATTGTTTAAGATACTAGCGATATCACATAAATGACAGTACTGTTATGCTCATGCTGGAAGATGGTGCCGGGATCGAACATCACTACTAACCTATTAATGGTTATGCTATATGACTTTTTGAATGAAACAGGGAGTACTAGTACAAATTTGTTGTCCGCTTCCCAAGCTAGCGATCCTCCAAAGGCAGTAGGATGATTGTTTTTAGCGAGGCAGCACTTTGCAATCTAAATTGTAACAATGCGCACGGTTCCTGATTAGCATTCTCTACCTTTTCTTCCCCTAATATATCGGGTCCAAATCACAAATTCGTGGGCTTAATATAATGTGAGAAGGTGCAAAAAAGAAGCCGCACAGGAAGATGGGGAAGATTTCTGATTCACTTCATTATTATAGACTCACCATTCCTTTCTTGTATATTCTGGATGATGTAATGAACAATCAGTCCTACCACTATTTATTATACTCGACTTGCCATGTCAGTCTCATCATCTTCATCTGTGCGCGAACATTTTCCGATACCGAGTGCCCAATGAAAGACATAGAATCCAGAAGTTTATGTTAGATTCCACACCGCATTTCGAGGAGGCCTTGGTCTTCATCAGAAATTTTTCAACTGTTTGATCAGCTTGCAATAGCCAAACATTTTGTCTTATTATCACAGCAGCACGCTTTACGTTCCATTATTGGCAATAATATCTGCATCAATCATATCTTATTCATTCCGCTGTATTCATTCCGCTAAGTGTGATCTTCGGAGATTTCCCATTTCGCTTGATCTCTTTCAGTTTGTCAATGTGAGTCTTTCTACGCCCTCTTGACAATGTTGACTAAGAGATGCCAAGAACTGTGATGTTCAAATGGACTGGAATGATTCGCCCTTGGAATTCAACGTGCCGAAGCCTTGGTTTATCTTACGATTATATAGAAAGATGATGAATGTGTCTAAATGACTTCATTAACGACAACTGTAGGCAGCAATTTGCAGCAATACATCATCGACAGCTCTCTGATTTCCTTTATGGAGGGGAACTAGAGGGAATTTATAATCAGCAAATGATCGAACAACGATAAGCCTTTCCATATAAACCCCTGAAACCATAATCATGCATGTCAGACCTTCAACTTTTTACTTTTGCAGAGAGTGGTGCCACTGTGTCAAACCTGGCGAGAACTTAAGTCTATTGTAGCAGAGGCTACAACGTGATCAGCAGATGATATTTATTTGATCAGCTTAACAAACGTACCATGATACTTGAGGATTTCGGTTCGTCTTTGAATCATAACCATGGTTTCACGACTAGCTTAATAAAGTGTGAACAATTATCACAGCTGTATACGATCGATTTGCTTCGGAATAGGTCCAACTTTGAGCTGTACACAGCTATGTTCCTTTGACTGGATTCTTACATTGTTGAATCTTCTCAAAGCGGGCTTTGCAACTCGATATGAAGAATCCAGATATTCTTTCTGGCTTCTCGGCATATTTACTGTCAACTCTAGTAGGTCTTTTGAATTTTTGAGGATCTCATAAGCCTGGCAAAGGGACGACGTAAATCTCTGCAGCTAGTCAGAGAGCAATATACAAACATGTTCCGAAATCAAGGAATGCTACAGACCAGTACCAAAGTAGTATTGTTGATATTCCTATATTACATACTGCTCAGATCATAACATCATTCCATATTTATGCATAACAAGAAAAAAAAAGAAGCGGAACTACATGAGAAATACCACCCATCTAGCAAGCACATGCTGAGAATGGTTTCATGGCATCACCATATAAGCTACTTCCGCTGATTATGGCCAATGCATACGCGTTTCTCTTCAACACCATCAGATGTTTTGAGCTTGCAAAGTTCAAACAAGCAGTGCGAGAGTTAAAACTTTCATGCTTCAATACTGTCTTGTGACACTTTTCGATGGACAATACACAGCAAACCCTTTCTTGACACAAGAAAGCAATTCTGCTACTCTCATGGACCCAGCCAATCTGGCATTCACCCTTTGATCATGGGATGGAAAATACAGATTCAATTATCTGCACTTAAAAAATTTGACGGTGTACTCCAATGGCATCAATGTAAGGTGGAACACCATCAATTGAAGAGATACTTGCATTTTCAGCTGAGCAAATAACATTCAGAATGCAGGCATGCGGCTATTCTCAAATGACCAAATCATGCAGTGTAGCCGGCAATCATACATTCTGATCTATAGAATGACTTAAGCCCTAGTCATTATAGCATAGGCGTACGCCAGATCTGAAATGAAGGAGAAAAGCGGGTGCATGAATTCTTTGGCTACATCAGAGAACATTGAGCAACTGAGCACAGCCTAGGCTATTCAAAATCGTCCGTACTATTGTGTTCCTGCAAGCGAACAATGCAAACTGAACAGTACGACAAATTGAATGCTGTTTTACTAGTCTGAATTTCCTAAATAAAATGATCCGCATGTTGTGAAATAAATAAGGAGCACTTTGCTACATGAAAAACGTACTTCACATATAATAATAAAAGAGGTTTCAACAGGTGCTACATCTGCGTTAAAACTTACATTCACTGCAGGTTTGGAAGTGTTGAGTCTATTTATATGAGAATTACTTTAAACCCACATCTACAATGCATTGTCATTCTGCAAAGATACTTTCTGTCATTCAAGGGAAAATTAGATTTTCAAAAACA